GCCCAGGCTGGCCTCGAACTCACAAAGATCTGCCTGGCTCTGCCTCCCGAGTGCTGGGATTAAAGGCGTGTGCCACCACCGCCCGGCCTTGCCAGCACTTTGATAAAGAAAAGAAATTCACTTGGCTTTCTAACTGTGTATGTGTTGTGTGCTGCATGTTCTGTTTATCACTTGGTCTTGTTTGTGCCAGTACCACAGTAAATGAATTCCCGTGGCTTTATACTAAAAAGTTTAGAGCATGCAGTGGGAGTGTAGGGTTGTGTTAGTAATTCTAGGACTTTTGCATTTTAGAACTCGCATGTTCAGTGTCCATCATGCCTACTAGTTTGGAGCTGAGTCATTGAGAGTATAGAGATAGAGTTTAGGAGAGCTGACATCTACTGCTGTTACATCTAGTTCACAGACAAGGAGTTTCTCTTGAAAAGTCGGAGTGTATACAGTGGAGCACTTGAGTAACACTGTGTGTGTGAAGTCAGGAGTTGAGCCTCAGGTGTTGAATCTTGCCTTCCCCCTTGTTTGAGATCTTTGTTCGCTGCTCTATCCTCAGCTAGCTGGCTCTGAGCTACTGGGGTACTGTCTCCTCTCACGTCTGGCTATAGGAGCACTGAGATCACAGATTGCTACCAAGCTCAGCTGTACCTGGGCCCTAGGGATTTGAACTCTGGTTTTTACACTTGCATGGTTAGAACTTGATCCATTGAGCCATTTCCTCAGCCTTCTCGTTGCTTCTTAATGTCTGATTTATTTAAGATTTAGATTGTAGGTATTATGCACAGTTTGTTAAATTTATTCCCAAGTATTCATGCTTTTGATTTGATGGCAAATGACTATAAAATTTTTATATCCAGTATTATATTTCTGATATGTAGGTACAATTGATTTTTATTTATAGCTGCCTTGTATTTCCCGATGTCATGTTTTAGTCATTTATTTGAGAAGGACAGTTTCTTTTTTAACTTTACAGACTGTACATTCTGTTTCTTTCTCTTGGTTTATGGCACCTACTTAGGTGGC